ACTTCGACTAGTTCGTGAGCCTGTTCTTGCCGCACCGCATGCACGTCGGAAGCTCAAGAGTCCGTCTCGCCTTTCCTTTTGTGCCTCTTGAGGTCATGCACTGCTAGCGCCTAGCTCCGCACTGCCTCGCCTTCTCCATGCAGATCAAGGGGTTGCGTAAGGCAGTAGGGCAAGCACCCAATCCGAAGCCCAGCACCCCAGCATGCATAGCACTTTGAACATTTTCACAGCTTGCGCGGATTTCCTACATAAGCACAGCACGCAAGCATTGCACTGCACCGCATGGACGCCATGATTGGGGTCGGCGCTGCGCTGGCCATCTTGGAGTCCTGCACTGACGCAGAACTCGCACCTGCACTGCTGCATCGCCCGGCTCTCACTGCAAGGCTGCGCAACTTGGTGGGCTCCGCACCGCCATCTCAGCCCGCACAGGCACCGCTGGCGCCACCGCAATATGCACCGCAACCTCAAGCATCGCAAAGCTCTTGCGCAGGGGTTGACCCTGCACAGCATGGGCATAGCACCGCAACGCCTATGATGGCTGTGCCTGCCTTTGGGGGGGGTGGCACAGTCTATGTGCACACCGTCCCGCAATGGTCGGTGCCGCCCGCACCGCAACCGGAGTTTGAAGGGCCTCCAGCACCGCATCTTTGGGAGGCACCTGCACCGCAAGCTCAGCGCAAAGATGCATGGGAGAACTATGCACCGCACCGCCCAGACGCTTGGGAAGAGCACTGGTCAAAGCCAACGCATGGCCAGCGCTGGGCCGACCAGGATGATGATGACTGGAAATGGGAGCCACCGCGACGCAAAGGCAGCAGAGGCAAAGCAAACTATGCCGACTATGATGCATGGCGCGCTGCACAGCAAGGCGCAGACGCATGGGATGCTGGAGCGTCCTGGGATAAAGGCGGCAAGCCCGGCCCGGCACCTCGCCCGGCACCGCAACCTGCACCGCAACCCGCACCGCAACCTGCACCGCAACCGGCACCGCAAGCATCCGACTGCGTCGTCATGCAAGTCAGCTCGCAATGCACTACTCAGGTGAAGTGGTCGGTTCGCAACCGGCCACTTTTTATGAACAGCAAAGGCCACTTGGCCTGCGCGTAGGCCTGCACGCGCACGCACTGCCGGCACGGCAGACCACCGTGCGGTTTCACCGTTAAGGATCCGCTCAAGGACAATCATGCAGCGCACGCATGCTCGCTGTGCATCAAAGATGATGACAGCGACTAGCACGCATTGCACCGCACCGCAAAAAAGGAGCAGCCGCATGCAAGTTCTTCGCATCAAGCCCCGCATAGGCATAGCTCCTCCCACCACGCATGCATCGCTCCGCCCAGGTCTTGTCGGTCGCAAACCGACCCGAAGGCTGGCTGCACGACTCCTTCTTGCATGGCCATTCGCACGCATTGCATTTGCAATAAAGGCCGACAGCCTTTTCTTGCATTCGCAAAGCAAGGACCCCAGCTAATCCCCCAGCCCCCGCAAGCCCGACCTTGAAGCTGCACAGGCACATCGAACTCCGGCCGGGCCCTCAGCACTGCAGTTCGTCTTTG